GGGATTACAGGCTTGAGCCACCGTGCCCGGCCTAGACGTTATGATTCTTAGGATCTCCCCCACGTGATCACAAACCAACCTCTAGCCCCGCCCCCCAGCCCCACCCCCATGATCTCATTTCTTCTTCAACAACCCCTAACTAAGAGATGTCTCAAATATACTTCTCAGGTGCTAAAATTAGCGGGGAAAAGCTTAATGGGGAAAATAGATAGACTTAAAGTATCTTCCACAATTACAGACAGAAAAAAATTTTTACAGTGGAAAAGCCTGACAGATGCCATCTTAATCAAGTGATCAGAATTATCACTAGTAATAAGAAAAGTAAAGATCACATGCCCTGATAAAGTTCACAGAGAAGAATTCAACATTACCTCTGTGGTATTCTGGCCGAAAATGCATATGTTAAATCTTAATCATAAAAGAAACATCAGACAGACCCACGCTGAGAGACATTCTACAAAATAAATCTCTGCACTCTTCAAAAATGCCAAAATCATGAAAGACAAAGAAAATCCAGGAAACTATTCCAAATTAATGGAGAACAAAGAGACGTAACAGCTGAGTGTAACGTGATCCTAGATTGGATCCTGGGCCAGAAAAAAAAAAAAAAATTGTTTCCATTTTATATATAGAACAGTAGTGGAATAATTGGCAAATTTTGAATAAGGTCTGTAGATTAGATAATAATACTGCATCTGTGTTAATTTCTAGAGTCTGACAATTATATTCTGGTTATGTTGGAAAATGTCTTTCTTTTTTAAGTAAATATACATTAGTCAGGATTCTCCAGGGAACCAGAACAAATAGTAGATAGGTAGATTGATAAATAGTTTTATTATAAAGAAGTGGCCTCTTGATTATGGAAGCTAATAAGTCCCAAGATCCCCAACATCTTCAGGGTAAGCTGGCAAGCTGGAGACCCAGGAGAGCTGGGTCTGAAGGCCTGAGCACCAATGGTGTAGTTCCAGTCCAAAGGCTGAGTCTAAGCCCCAGGGGGAGCCAATGTTTCCTTCTGAGTCTAAGACTGGAAAGAGCCAACTTCCCAGTCTCAAAGCAATCAGGCAGAAGAAAGTCTGTCTCACTCAGGAGAGGGTCAGTCTTTTTGGTTCCATTCAGGCTTTCAACTGGTTGGATAGGGCCCATCCACATTAGGGAGGGCAATGTACTTTATTCAATCTATCAATTCAAATGTTAATCTTATTCCAAATACCCTCAGAGAAACACCCGTATTTGGCCAACTATCTGAGCACCAATTGTCTAGAAGATGGCACATTAAAATTAACCATCACAGGTAGAGTTTCATGGGCTTTATCTCTGAAACTTCGTCTCGAAATAGTTCAGAAAATAATTATATACATGTAGATAGATACATACAAATAAAGCAAACATGGTAAATGGTTAATATGTGGGTAATCTAGGAATCAGGATAAAGGATATACAGGAATTATCTGAACTTTTTTAACTTTAGATGCACAAACCTTGACATTTTCCCTTCCATAACCAAGCCATTACCAAACCCTATAGGTTTTGCTTTCATAATACACATCTTGTAGCCACAATATCTCTCCATTTCCACCACCACCACCCCGCCTTGGTCCAAGTCAGCATCACCTCTCACCTAGACTGCTACAGTAACCTCCCGACTTGCCTCCCTGCTTCCACTCTTGCCTCCTTTACAATCCATTCTCCACCCTGAAGCCAATGATCTTTGCAGAATACAAACTTGAAATCAGCTAAATGCAATGCACCATCCTTGATTGATTTCTGAAAAGTAAACATTTATCATGTTTATTTAGACTGTCTTAGACTGTGCTGATATTACAAAACACCACTGACTGGATAATTTAGAAACAGAAATGTTATTTTCTCACAGTTCTGAAGGCTGGGAAGTCCAAGGTTATGGCACTGACTGGTTTGCTATCTAGTAAAGGCCAGTTCCTCATAGATGGGCCATTGAGGTGTCCTTACACGGCAGAAGGGACAGAAGGGGTCAACTTGCCTCCTTGAGCTCTTTGAAAAGGCATTAATGCGTTGTTGAAAGTGGAGCCCTCATAGCCTTATTGCCTCCTAAAGGCCCCACCACTTAATACCAACACAATGGATTAATTTTTATTCTGGAGGGGACATATTATGGAGGGGACATATTCAAACTGTAGTAGACACCAATGAGACACTTGGGGAAATCTGAATGTGATTATAGTATTGTATGAATGTTAAATGTCTTGGATGTGGTAATGCTATCATGGATATATATGAAAATGTCCTTGTTCTTAGGAGATATACATTGAAAGTACATAGCAAGTAAGTGTAAATCATTTTGTGGCTGGGTGCAGTGGCTCATGACTGTAATCCCAAAACTTTGGGAGGCCAAGACCGGTGGATCACTTGAGGTCAGGAGTTCCAGACCATCTCTACTAGAAATACAAAAAATTTTAGCCAGGTGTGGTGGCACAAGCCTGTAGTCCCAGCTACTCGGGAGGCTGAAGCAGGAGAATCACTCGAACCCGAGAGGTGGAGGTTGCAGTAGGCCAAGATGATGCCACTGCACTCCAGCCTGGGCGACAGGGTGAAACTCTGTTTTATAAAAAAAATAATTTCATACCTAACTCAAGTGATTCGCAAAAATAATTGTTATTACTTCCTTATTGTTATTATACATATGCACATTAAAAGACAGATACAAGGCCAAGTCTGGCAAAATGTTATCAGTGAATATAGGTGAAGGCTGGGGAAATGGGATGCTCATTGTATTAATCTTGCCAATTTCTGGAAGTTTTAAATTTTTTCTAACGGCTATGGAAAACAGTGTATGTCATATGTTACATTTCTTGAGTGTGATAAGGGTACTGTGGTCATGTAGGAGAATATCTTTGTTCTTAGGAGGTACATGTTAGAGTAGTTAGGGGTAAAATGTCATGCTAACTGCAACTTCTTTTTTTCTTCTTCTTTTTTTTCTCTTTTTTTTTTTTTTTTTTTTTTGAGACAGAGTTTCGCTCTTGTTACCCAGGCTGGAGTGCAATGGCGCGATCTCGGCTCACTGCAGCCTCCGCCTCCTGGGTTCAGGCAATTCTCCTGCCTCAGCCTCCTGAGTAGCTGGGATTACAGGCACGCGCCACCATGCCCAGCTAATTTTTTGTATTTTTAGTAGAGACGGGGTTTCACCATGTTGACCAGGATGGTCTCGATCTCTCGACCTCGTGATCCACCCGCCTCAGCCTCCCAAAGTGCTGGGATTACAGGCGTGAGCCACCGCGCCCAGCCCTTTTTTTTCTTTTTAGATAGAGTTGTGCTCTTGTTGCCCAGACTGGAGTGCAATGATGCAATCTCACCTAACTGCAACCTCCAACTCCCCAGTTTAAGCGATTCTCCTGCCTCAGCCTCCCAAGTAGCTGGGATTACACACATGTGCCACCATGCCCAGCTAATTTTGTATTTTTAGTAGAGATGGGGTTTCTCCATGTTGGTCAGGCTGGTTTTGAACTCCCAACCTCAAGTGATCCACCCACCTCGGCCTCCCAAAGGGCTGGGATTATAGGTGTGAGCCACCACGCCCAGCCTGCAACTTATTTTCAAATGGTTCATCCAAAAAAATATGTAAATACATTTTAAAGTATTCATAAAGTACTTAAATACATGAGTATATATGTACAAGTATATAATAAAGATAAATGTAAAAAGTGGTGAATTTTGAGATGGAATTTCCCTCCTGTTGCCCAGGCTGGAGTGCAATGAGGCAATCTTGGCTCACTGCAACCTTCACCTCCTGAATTCAAGCTTTGGACTATTAAACTTTTCTGTGGCTTTGACATTTTTCAAAATGAGAAGCTGGGAAAAAAAATACTTAGAAATATATAAATTTGCAATATATTAAGGATACAAAATTAAATTTAAAAGTTAAGACTCATCCTGAAAAAATGACATCCTGTTAATATCCCTGCTTAAAACCTCAGTAGCGGGCCAGGCGCGGTGGCTCACGCCTATAAATCCCAGCACTTTGGGAGGCCGAGGCGAGTGGATCACGAGGTCAAGAGATCAAGACCATCCTGGTCAACATGCTGAAACCCCGTCTCTACTAAAAATACCAAAAAAATCACACGCCTGTAGTCCCAGCTACTGGGGAGGCTGAGGCAGGAGAATTGCTTCAACCGAGGAGGCGGTGAGCCGACATCACACCATTGCACTCCAGCCTGGGTAACAAGAGCAAAACTCCGTCTCAAAAACAAAAACCACAAGCCTCAGTAGTTTTCCCACTACTTCTAGGGTAAAGACAAAATGGTCTAACAAGCGCTACAAGAACCGGGCTGGGCTGGCCCCTTCCTCCTCTCCCAGTTCTCTAATCATCACCACCATCTGCCCCTAGGGTTCGACCATGCATAGCTCCACCCTAAGTACACCAGAAAGAAAGACTCCCTCAAAGTTGTCTCTCCTCCTGTCCTTTACACATGCGGCCACCACGGCCGAAACCTCATTATGACGGACTGAGAAACGGATTTTCATGCTGTTTGTGCGGGACTGTTCCCCTAACTCTTCTCAGAAATTTTCCCTGCCGGCCCCCCATTCTACCTCTCCAGCCCCGGCGGAGTCTGGGTAACTGGCCTCATTAGCAGCCTGTGTAGTCTCATCGTAGCACTTAGTACCCAGTATTGCAATTGTCCGCTCACTTGTTAGTCTTCAGTTCTCTGCAAACTCCTTCAAGACAGAGCCTGACTTGAGTCCCCAGTCCCCAGTCCCCAGCACTGGTCTGGGACACAGTCCTTATTTTCTTGCATGTAAAATAAAGGAGTTGGGCTGGATGAGCTACAAGATCTATTGGCAATAAAATAGATCTAATAATCCCAACCCTAACTGCACGTGAAATCCCTTTTTCTTTGCCTTGCTGGGTTCCGAATTTCTGACGACCTTACCGGCGGAGAGAATCCGAGACTACAGTTCCCATGAGCCCTCAAGGCACCACGTGGCGCCTGCCGGTCCTACCAACGCACAGCGAGGACTCCCTTTCCCGGCGTGCCTCAGGAAGGGCGCCAGGACTGCGTTTTGCTCCCGGAGCTTCCAGGGTCCTGACCCTGAGCGAGAGTCGCAGTCGCTGAGGCTGAGCGTCAGGCAGGTAGAAGGTGCTCTTCTTGGGCTTCACAGGGAACCCAGGGGCTTCGGCCCAACCACGAGTACGCAGGTGCACACGCCCTACTCTTCCCCACTCTTTGCAAATCCCCTTGGGAAGGAACGTGCCTCGGGGGCGGGCCTTTAACAGCCGCGGGTCCCTCCATTCCCATAGCGGGAGGTCGAATTCACCACGTGACGTAGACGAAAGGGGCGGTGTCTCGGGTCTCCCGGTGCGGCGTTAAGGAGGGCGCCCCACGGGAGCTGCTGTGGGTGTCCGGGCGTGGGGTAGCGCGGATGCGGGGCTCGCGGGCTGGGTCGTTGACACTGCGCTCTCACCAGGCGGATCGCCCTGGCCCTCACTCCTGGCCTCCGCGTCTCTGCCGTAGCCGATGCTGACTGCGCGGCCGGTCCCGGGCCTGGTCTTCGTGGCTGGCCGCGTCTGTTTGTCCCAGGGCAGCGCGGGATCCGGGGCCATGGGTCCCGTGGAGGCCGCCATTCGCACGAAGTTGGAGCAGGCCCTGAGCCCTGAGGTGCTGGAGCTTCGCAACGAGAGCGGTGGCCACGCGGTTCCGCCTGGCAGTGAGACGCACTTCCGCGTGGCCGTGGTGAGCTCTCGTTTCGAGGGGCTTAGCCCCCTACAACGACACCGGCTTGTCCACGCGGCGCTGGCCGAGGAGCTGGCTGGGCCAGTCCATGCGCTGGCCATCCAGGCGCGGACCCCCGCACAGTGGAGAGAGAACCCTCAGCTGGACGCTAGCCCCCCCTGCCTGGGTGGGAACAAGAAGACTCGAGGAACCCCCTGAACCCCAAGAGAGGAGGGGAGGACCGGGATCCTAATGGGCCGGGTGAGCACGAACTGCTGACGCCTTCCCCTTGATACAGTCCAGGATTTGTACGGGATGAAGACCCCTGGGCCTCGTTCTCTTGGGGTCCAAACATATTCTTAGAAGATAGCAACTTGTTTCAGGTCAAAGTGAACCCGAGGAAAGCAGAGCATCACTCACTGCTGCTCTTGCCCTGGACTGTTCAGGAAGGGCAGGCAGTCCGGGTGGTCCATGTTACATCGTGATAGAACTGCACCAGACCTGAGGAGCTGGAAACAATCCTATACATTAAAAGAGAAATTACACTGTGAGATGCATTTCTGTGTTCTTAACGGACTGCTGAATCAGTGCTACAGGTGTTCTCAGGAGAAGAAGGATCCCTGTAGACGGGTCGGGAAGGGCTTTATGAGGCAAGTGATCTAGTTGGATCTTTAAAAGAAAGCAAAAAATGAACCAGAAAGGAGAGGATAGGTGCTGCAGACAGGGAGAAGACCCTGAGCAAAGGCATACATAGACACTAAACTGAGCGTGAGTTATTGGACAAGACAGGCGATATAGTCAGGGACATATTTGAATTTCATCTTGGGGGAATGTTTGGCTTTTTTACGGCCTGTCCATTTCAAAAAAAGTGGTACTTGTATTGTTTAAAAGAAAAGCTTTTTTTTTTTTTTTTTTTTTTTTGAGACGGAGTTTCGCTCTCGTTACCCAGGCTGGAGTGCAATGGCGCGATCTCGGCTCACCGCAACCTCCGCCTCCTGGGTTCAGGCAATTCTCCTGCCTCAGCCTCCTGAGTAGCTGGTACTACAGGCGCGCACCACCACGCCCAGCTAATTTTTGTATTTTTAGTAGAGACGGGGTTTCACCATGTTGACCAGGATGGTCTCGATTTCTTGACCTCGTGAGCTGCTCGCCTCGGCCTCCCAAAGTGCTGGGATCATAGGCGTGAACCACCGCGCCGGGCCAAGAAAAACTTCTTTTAAAAAACCACTAAAGCAGTGAAGGAGGATAAGGAAAGTGATTACAGAGGATGGAGAAACCTTTAGGTAGCCGTTTTTCTTTTTTTCCTTTTTTCTCCCCCCAACCCCCACCCCACTCTGTCGCCCAGGCTGGAGTGCAGTGGTGCAATCTTAGCTCACTGCAACCTCTGCCTCCCGGGTTCAAGCAATTCTCCTGCCTCAGCCTCCCAACCAGCTGAGACTAGAGGCTTGTGCTACCACACCTGGTTAAGTGCTTGTATTCTAGTAGAGATGGTGTTTCACCGTGTTGCCCAGGCTGGTCTCGGACTCCTGAGCTCAGGCCGTCGGACTCCTAAAGTGCTGAGATTACAGGCGTGCATCACCGTGCCCTGCGATGTAGCTCTTTTTGAGCATTCCGGATGTGTCAGATTTCTGAGGGGAGCTCAAGTAATGTCTACAAAAGCAACTTTCCAATAATCTCATTGTGGAAATTATTAGAGAACAAAACTTGGTTAACATATATCTTTACCATTTCTACCTAAAGAATTTAGGGTGCATGTGGTTGGGCGGTAGGGAATCTGAGGAATTTTGAAATGTCTTTTTTTTCTTTTTTAAAAAGTTTTTTTCTTTAAAGAGATGGGGTTTCACCATGTTGGCCAAGGCTGGCCTCGAACCTCTGACCTTGTGATCCGCCCACCTCAGCCTCCCAAAGTGCTAGTGAGCCTGGCCTGAAACGTCTTTTCACATGACAGAGAGCATGTGGCAGCAGATGGACCTGGCAGTGATGCGTAAGTGGGTTGGCATGAGATTGGAGGAACAGAGGTCAATTCAGAGTGAAGGTAGAACCCTGACTTAGAGGTCAGCATGGGAATGGAAAAGGAGTTTCTTTGAGAGCGACCATAAAATCAGAACGTGGCTTGATTAGAACAGAAATGGAGTAGAGTAAGAGAGGAGCTAAGAGTCAAAGGCAGTGGTTTTCACATTTTCTCTTGGGTAAGAAATCCCAAGGGAGATTGTTTAAAATGTACATTCAGACCGGGCCTGGTGGCTCACACCTGTAATCCCAGCATTTTGGGAGGCTGAGGCAGGCAGATCACCTGAGGTTGGGAGTTCGAGACCAGCCTGGCCAGCATGGTGAACCCCATCTCTCCTAAAATACAAAAATTAGCCGGGTGTGGTGGCAGGCACCTGTAATCCCGGCTACTCAGGAAGCCGAGGCAGGAGAGTCGCTTTAACCCAGGAGGCAAAGGCTGCAGTGAGCCAAGATCACGCCATTGCATTCCAGTTGCGCAACAGAGTGAGACTCCGTCTCAAAAAAAAAAAAAAAAAAAAAAAAAAAAAATGTAGATTCAAGGTCCCCATCTTTCCAAACCAAGAAGAAAAGGGATTCTGATTCCACAAGTCAAGAGTGGAGTCTGGAGTCTATATTTTTTTTTAAGTGTACCAGAATATTTAGAGGAAAGTCAGTCCTATTCTTAAAAAATATTACTCCCAAATTTTTCAGATCTGGGAGACTTACAGGGCCCTCCGTCTGTAGAGGAAAGGTCAGGGTAGAGAGGCCAATTTAGGAAGTAAATCTGGCACACTATGTTATTCTGACCTTCAGTTTGGAAACTTCTATTTCACCATTTTGCCCTCCAAGGCTGTTAGGAAAATTGGAGATGTAGGTGGAGAGTCACAGAAGCAGGTACAGCCATTTTGTATTTTGAGGATTGGTTTCCGTTTTATTTTTCATCAGTATTTTTTCATCGCATTTTTCACATCAACGGAGTTGGGTTTAGGGTTCCCCAGGAGAGCAAGGGAGATGGATGTGTTCCTCCCAGGGGTGCAAGGAAGAGGGCTGCGTCCAGCAGGTGAGGAGGGACAGGGGCACGGGGTGCACACTCGTACACTGGGCACTGGAGAAGGCAGTCTTTTGAGCACAGACACCAAAGAGTTAAACAGTCACCACCTGGTTCAGTGTTACAAAATGAGGGGAGTGACCACAGGGCTGGGGCACCAGACGCAGCATGAGGAAGGTGCATTTTGATTTTCTTTTTTAGTTATTTTCACTTTTTTCCTTTTAACTTTTTTTTAAACATTTTACAAACATCTAAAAACTACAACACATCACAGCTACAGTGGGGTGAGGGGAGGGTACCAAAGAAAGCAGCCACACAGAGTAGGGTGGGACGGGGCAGCCTAACCTACGGAGGCTATTGTGTGGAAGGGTCAAATGAGGAAACTGAGGCTTCTAGTCCCTGCATTAGGGGTCCCTCACTCACTGCCCAACCTCTCCCCCGTCAGAGGAGTTGCCAGGAGGGCCCCTGCTTCCTGCCTCTGCCCCAGCTCCTTGTGCTTTTGATCTGCTGGTTTGACCATACGCCTGGTTCTTTGCCTCCCCTGCTCCTCTGTCTGGGAGGGGACAGGTCAGGGGCGTGGGAGGGCAGCTGTGCTGTTCCCGTCTGTGCTGTGGTGGGTGGAACCTCACCCCAGAGGAGGCCTGTGCTTCTGGAGGAGGGAAGGAGATGGGCCTCGTCAGATGCCCTCAGATCTCTCTAGACTGTGGGACTCTTACTCCAGGCTGGCCTAGGGCTCCACCATCCCAGGCTCAACACAGACACAAGATTAGGAGAGGTACCGTGGGAGGCAGGGTTGTGTGTGCGTCGGCTGAAATCACCCTCGGCTTATATTTGAGGACAGTATAGTGATACCCCCCGCCCCATGGCACATGCACACACATACATAAGTATACACACACATTCACACACAGTCCTGCTGAGCTGCCTCAGAGCTTAATCTATCAATAAATAAGAATCAGAAAGCTAATAAAAATTCAGGCTTCCTATCTGCAGCCCAAATTGAGAGGGAAGTGGAGGCCAGAGGGCTGAGGTTTATTGCTTCTCCCCCAGCATCCAACAGGAGGTTCCTTCAGACTCCAAGAAGTTCTTTTGGTCCATGGTCTACACCAAAGCGCCAGCCCCCAGCATAATTGCATACCTGTGGTTTCACCAGGGCCTAGGGCAGAGGGAATGACAGGGAAGGCAGGAAGCCTCTTCTGGAACCCCTGGCACAGGGAAGCAAGGCCCCCTCTCTAACACAGGGGGAGAAGAACAGGGCTCAGCCTTCTCTTGTGCAAAGTCGAGGGTGGTGGGAAGTGGGGAGTCAAGCTTCATCTCAAAACCGGGATGAAGGAGCCTTCCCTGTAGTCCCTGCCCACGGGGGTCACACACATGCACACGCGCGCACACACACACAGCTAAGACACCAAACACAGGGAGTGGGGAGTGAGGGCTCTGGAGGCCAGGATGGCAGGGCAGGGAGGGGCAGGAAGGAGTTGTTGGTCTCACAGTGTGCCTGCCAGTCCCACAACCCCAGAGACCCCCTCACTGCAGCACCTGCCCCCGGGTCTCAGGCAGCTTCAGGGCCAGAGAGCTGCCAAGGGCAAGGGCAGCTGAGGCAAAGAGGATGGGGGCAGCCTTGGTGATTCCCACGAAGGATGTGAAGATGCTGATCCCCAGCACAGCGGCCAGCTTACACAGGGCATTCAGGAAGCCGAAAGCTGTGGTCCTGCTCAGGAGTCCCCCAGTGCAGCACAGCGCAAGGTCCAGGAGGGAGGCGAAGGAAGCGTGGAGGGCAGGGAAGTGAAGGCCAGGAAGACGCAGGCAGTGTCCGAGAGGGAGAGGGAAGGTTGGAGAGATCAGAGAGGTAAGGGACGGACATCAGGAATGCAGATAAATGGAGAGGAAAAGGGAAAGGACACCAAAAATTGAGGTTAGGATGTCAAGGAGTGGATAGCAGATTTTTTTTTTTTTTTCTGTTGCCTAAGCAGTGGCATGGTCTCAGTTCACTACAACCTCCGCCTCCTGGGTTCAAGTGATTCTCCCACCTTAGCCTCCCAAGTAACTGGGATTACAGGCGCGCGCCACCACACCCGGCTAATTTTTTGTATTTTTAGTGGAGACGGGGTTTCACCACGTTGACCAGGCTGATCTCGAACTCCTGACCTCGTGATTCGCTTGCCTCAGCCTCCCAAAGTGCTGGGATTATGGGCGTGAACCACCACGCCTGGCCGAAGCTACCAGATTTTAGAGAAAATGGAAATGTGTGTCCTCTCACCCACCCATAAGGACGCTCTTCCCACTCAGCCCTCTTTCCTCACCTCACCCCTCCCCTGAATCTGCTGCCCTGACCCCCCCCCCCCACACTCCAACTACCTCTTGTCTGAGGGGTAGAGTTCAACAGTCAACACGTCCAGCGCGTTCCAGGATGCAATGCTGACCCCACCAAAAAGGCAGAGCAGAGCAATCATGGCTGACTCGCTGTTCCCAAAAGACAGGAAGAAGCAGGAGACACAGGACATCACGCTGGAGCCA